GTGTAAAGATGGAAGATGAGGAAGTAAACTTGAAAATTATTTACTATGTTGTCCAATATTCTTATCATGTCTCTACGCATGGGGAGCAGGGTAGGCGGGGGGAGCGGGCCTGTAGGCGGGGGTGTGCGCGGGGTACTGAGCCTCGCCCTCGTAGCTGACCTCAGCTACGAGACCGTCGCCGTTGTCCACGTACTTGACGGTCTGCTTGCGGCCGTCGGGGAGGTCGACGGAGTAGCTGCCCTCGGTCTTGTAGCCGTCGCGGGCTTCTGAGTGGCCGAGGTTGACGCCGGAGTAGCCGTCGGCGACGCCGTAGTTGTAGGTGTACTTCGGGGGCACCTGTGTGGGTGGCGTCGGGAAAGGATATTTTATAGGGCTCCTATTCTTCGGAGATAAAAGTAAGGATAGTCGATTTCAGTATCTCATATCGGAAGGATGCGTTTCATTCTCTTGAGACATAAATAGCTTGGAGAAAAACACCTCAAGAGGCAGTCACTCGAGTCTATTCTATTCAAGGATCCCAAGACAGAACTGGATGCTTCCCAAACTGGAATGGGATCTGATATAAAAAGCCTTAGCCAGCGAGGAATAACTGCATCGGTATTTCATCAGAATTACAGGTAAACTCATTACTTTAAATCCTAAAAAGTGATTTTCATATCAAGTAGAAAAAAAATAAATTGGAATAACAAGATATATTGCACCAAACAATACACATCATTAAACTTTTATAGATCAATCAGATAAACGTTCATCTGACCAACGGACATAAACATCAACCCACTCCGATAAGTCAAGGACATGGAGTTCTCTTCAGAAGTTATCTACGCCTTGTTGGATAAAGTGAGAGCCGAAGATCCGCTGTGGAACACCAACCATAAGGAATATAAAAACAAAAATTAAAAAAGAACATTAATGGATGAAATAAGCAAGGAACTTCGTCAAAAACAATGTGAACGCTGGACTGAGACGATAGTTCTCTCCAAGGGGATACTGTGTGTAGTGTGACCCAAGCAGTATTTGACCAGACACTGGCAAGGATTTAAAGATTTAGTTTTAATTCCATTTGATACAATGGAAATTCTTTTCTGTGACATAGTCTGTTTTATTTTGCTTCTAAAGCTCCCCCTGTGTGCAAGGGATGGCCGGGGTTACCATCCACTGGCAGCGCGCAGGATTGAACGCAGGTTAGCAAGACTGCCAGACCAACACGTTAACTGCTGTCTAGGGATCCCAGGACAGAGAAGACTAGTGTGACTGACGCTTAAGAAGACATTGTAAGGAACAAACAGTAGTTGTAGGTGTACTTCGGGGGCACCTGTGTGGGTGGCGTCGGGAAAGGATATTTTAAAGGACTCCTATTCTTCGGAGATACAAGTAAGGATAGTCGATTTTAGTATTTCATATCGGAAGGATGTATCACAGGAAACAGGTCTTGAGTAAAATTCTAATAACTAATTGAGTTAGACTAAAACACTCAAGAGGACTTTCTAAGGAACAAAAACAAGCCAAATGATACCAAACTCTACTAATCAAGGGATTAACGAAAAGGAACTTACATCAGGGTAGTCTGGTTCGCTGTGGTAGGCCGAGGTGGGGGGTGGTAGGGGGCAGGAGGGGGGTGGGGGGCATGATCAGCTACGCCACAACAACCAGGCAAGTGATGACGGCGATCTGGAAATTGAAAATATAACAATGACACTGATCACTCAAAAAACGATTCACTTCACAGCTTCGGGAGAGCTAGTCCGCGAGCCTACCTTGAGGGACATGGCGGCGGAGGGAATGATGGCGCCGACGACCAGCTCGGGCTTTTATACTCGCGCCGGACTCTCTCTCTCGTCTCGTTCTGGCTGCAGCTGCAAGCAGGATGACGGGGCACTAATGGGTAGGAGTAAAAGCAATTTTACTGTCTGATAATGATAATAAGAGAGATGTAGATAGATTAACAAATAATTTAAATTCATGAATAAGAATTAAAAAAAAATAGACTTCCTATCAACATTCCGTCCGTACCTCGATAAATACTTATTTTCTTTCCTTAATCCAGACATTGAAGTCTCTATGTATCACACACATATACATACATTTATATAATATATATATATATATATATATATATATATATATATATATATATATATATATGTGTGTGTGTGTGTGTGTGTGTGTGTGTGTGTGTGTGTGTGTGTGTGTGTTTGTGTTGTTTGTAAATATATATACATACACAAACACGCACACATACACATACATAAGAATATATACATATATATACATTTATTATTATATACATATATATACACATACATCACATATACCACATATATATATATATTATATATATATATATAATATATATATATATATATGTGTATATATATGTATATACACACATATATATGTATACATGAAAGATGGAATAATGCTCTACCACACTGATATGATGAATAAATAACCTCTCCGATAGGACTCGAACCCTCGCCGTTTCAGTCAGGGAACTGCAAGACGGACGCTCTGCCGCTGATGCTTGACCCGCTAAAAGGAGTGTGCAACTAGGACGTATCTAGCTTCCATAGACATTACTATCTACTCATCCTTGAGTAAGGATAGCGAGGTCTTACACGCACTCACTGTGGGCACTCGGTAGATATTGATAGAAAGATCGAAATAATGAGGTTTATTTAAAAAAGATGGAATAAGTAGTAACATATATATATATATATATATATATATATATATATATATACTAATATTATATATATATATACATATACAAATATACTATTTATAAATATTGAAGGGATATATTAGAACAAGTATAAACATATATATTATTATATAATATACAATTATGCATATATTATATATATATAGCCCATATAACAATACATATTTCATTATGTATGTCTGCACACACACACAACATACACACATAATACATATACACTTAATTATACTAAAGTATATATAATATATGTATATTATAATATATATATATATATAGTATATATATAAGCGTATATACAATTGTTTATATTGCACACATATATACATATATGTTTCTCTGGACACATAGACATATATTATTTATATATTATAATATATATAATAATATATAATAATATATGAAATATATAATGTATGATGTCATGCGTACACACGAACACATAAGCACACATACAACACATATCTATGAAGTATATAAATTTTTTCTATTGAAATCAATACGGTCATTATTGTTGACATTATGTTGACACAATGTTATGAAATTTTAATAACAATACCAAATAACTGAAAAAATCGGAAATCAATCACTAAACAAAAGCCAATCTTATTAAATACTTTGGGTCAAACAAAAGACAAACTTTACACTACCAAAAGTTTATTGATGAACAGAAAAAAAAAAAAAAGGTAACAAAACAAATATGAAGATGGAAGATGAATAAGTCAACTTGAGAATGATTTGCTATGTCGTCCAATATTCTTAATATGTCTCTACGCATGGGGAGCAGGGTAGGCGGGGGGAGCGGGCCTGTAGGCGGGGGTGTGCGCGGGTACTGAGCCTCGCCCTCGTAGCTGACCTCAGCTACGAGACCGTCGCCGTTGTCCACGTACTTGACGGTCTGCTTGCGGCCGTCGGGGAGGTCGACGGAGTAGCTGCCCTCGGTCTTGTAGCCGTCGCGGGACTTCCGAGTGGCCGAGGTTGACGCCGGAGTAAACGTCGGCGACGCCCGTTGTGAGTGTACTCGGGGCACCTGTTGGTGGCGTCGGGAAGGATATTTTAAAGGACTCCTATTCTTCGGGGATAAAGTAAGGATAGTCGATTTCAGTATCTTACATCGGAAGGATGCGTTTCATTCCTTAAATATTCACAGGAAACAGGTCTTAAGTAAAATTGTAATAACTAATTGAGTTAGACGAAAACACTCAAAACGACTTTCTAAGGAACAAAAACAAGATGAATGATAACAATTTCTACCAATCAAGGGATTAACGAAAAGGAACTTACATCAGGGTAGTCAGGTTCGCTGTGGTAGGGCCACGGGGGGTGGTGCGGAGGAGGGGGGTGGGGGCATGATCAGCTACGGCCACAACAGCCAGGCAAGCGATGACGGCGATCTGGAAATTGAAAAATAGGGATTACTTTTCCAATGCGTCGTATTCTTTTTTTTCAACTTGAAATATTTCAGGCCTTGAAATGATAATGAAAGTTATAATATTATGTATATATGTATGCATTTAAGCATACACACACACACACATGTACAAACACACACACACACAAACACACACCACACACACACACACACACACACACACATATATATATATATATATAAAGCGAAACTAGATATTTCAAAGAACACACTCACAAATTACTAATAACATCAATGATATAACGATGCCACTGATCACTCAAAAAACGAGTCACTTCACAGCCTCGGGAGAGCTAGTCCGCGAGCCTACCTTGAGGGACATGGCGGCGGAGGGAATGATGGCGCCGACGACCAGCTCGGGCTTTTATACTCGCGCCGGACTCTCTCTCGTCTCGTTCTGGCTGCAGCTGCAAGCAGGATATGTATAATGAATAGTATTAAGAATATGAATAATAAAGAAAAATACTGGCTGATGATATCAGTAAGTGAAATATGTAGATAGATTAACAAAATAAATTTAAATTCATGAATAAACAGAATGCATAAAATATTTTTTTCTCAAAAGACTTCCCCATCAACATTCATTACGACCTAAATCCAGACATTGAAGTGTCTATATATACACACACATATATATGCATGCATATATATATGTGTGTGTGTATGAACATATGCATGACAACAAACACGCACAACAATATACTTACATACACACACACACACACACACACACCACACATATATATATATATAAATATGTACATATATATACACATGCAGTATATGTATAAATACACATACATACACATGTATATGGATTTATTCACCACCATATATGTATGAATT